TCTAACTATACCATTTAAAAATTCTGCAAACCAGGATGGAAGAATACTGAATGGTGTAAGAAAACTGGAAAAAAGAAAAACTTAGGTGGAATTTTAGAAAATGTTTTCTGACAACCTAATAGATTGGGTTGTGAAATAATCTTCCTGGGGAAGAAGTAAAAAACTTGTCCTTTGAGACTTTTAAGACCAGGCTTGCAAAATCTGAGAACATACTGATTGGAGGTGATGTAAGTGAGTGAGCTTCTGCAACAATATCATAAAAAGACACAGGATCCGTGTAAAAATTATGCATTTTAAAATTATAAGCCAAGGTATGTGGTGTGTGTGTATGTATAGTATACAATTATTCTACTTGAATATTGTGTTTTTACTGGAAGAAGGATATTATTTCCATCTTACAGATGCATGAAGGTGCACATGTGATCCTGAAACCAGAACAGATTTTATGTTCTGGTAAATGTTGTCATATCCATAGATAGTCAAGAAAGAATTCCCCTCAAAGTGAATTCTCTAGGTGAAATGGTTATTAATTGCATAATTTCTCAATCTAAAATCCTGAGCTGCTTCATTCTGCTTTCACATGATTAATTTAATACAGTATGTAAAAGTATTGCTTTAATTTTTAGTATCAAGTCATTGCTGCTTCATTTTTTGAAGTGTTTCACCTTAAAGAAACAGAAGACAAGATGATATAAACAAGGAAATGCATAGAAAATGAAATGTATTTAACTGTCACTTTTACTGTATGCAAAAGAGTTTACAATTAAAGTGAAATGGGCTGCAGTGTTTTAAATTAAATACTAGCAATTTGTGAACTTTTTCATTATGCTTTTCAAAGAAAAGTAGAATAGTGAAATGATAAAAATCTGAAATAGAGTTCTTTTGAAGAGCATGTAAAATAATATTGTATCTCGAGAGGTTGGTATTTTAGTTAAATATAACTCTTAACTCACAAAAGGGGTTTTTTAATTGTTTGTCAGGTCGAACTTACAATGATCTAAATCAGTACCCTGTCTTCCCTTGGGTTATCACCAACTATGAGTCAGAGGAGTTGGACCTTACACTTCCTAGCAACTTCAGGGATTTGTCAAAGGTATTGGTCATCAGATTTACCTTTTTTTTCTCTCTAGTATTTATCACAGTAGCTTTCAGTCTTGTTAATGTTTTCTGCTGCATTTGATATACTGATGTTAAACGCACAACCATTAGCAGTGTTTCATTTCTATATGTGTATACTGATAATAGGGATCAGATTGTGGAAAAATGAATTATTAATGTATTCTTATTGCTTCTGATAGTATCAATTTAATAATTGTTAATGGAAGGTGCTTTTAGTTGGAGCATATGCATTATGTTTAATTTCAAATTTTAATGAAGTCAGCAGTGCTGAGGCTGTTGCAGATTAAAAATTAGCCAAATAATTTTCTGTTTTTCTGATGACAATTGCGCTTTTTTAGGAGCAAAGTCTATGATACTATTATATTTTAAGTACTTTTGAATCACTGACCTTATTCCCATAAGCAGAAACTTTATTTTTTCACTTCCTCTGTGTAATCCCTTCAGGTATGCTCAAGTAATGCAGTTGTCCTGTGTCAGAGAGACATTGTCAGTTTTTAACAACCTTTCCAAACAACTGCTTTCTGGCAGCGTAATCTTGTTTTCCTGAGGTTCTTTCCCAAGCAAACATATGCAGATGCAGTATTATACAGCCTGTTTAAAGCTTTATATAATGTGATTATTCTCTTTCAGTCTTTTCCAAGAAAGGAATATTTCATGTTACAAAGTAGAAGCATCCCTCATTTTCTCTACAAAGACTGGGTGCACTGATCATCATACAGGATCTTTTTCTAAAAGCTAGCTATTATGGGAAATCATTGGCACATGGAACAATAGAGTTAATGAGTGGAAAAGTCCAACCGTTAATGTAGCACTGCCAAGTCCACCACTAAACCACATCTACATGTCTTTTAAATACCTCCAGGGATGGTGACTCAACCACTTCCCTGGGCAGCCTGTTCCAGTGCTTGACAACACTTTTGGTGAAGAAATGTTTCCTAACATCCAATCTAAACCTTCCCTGGTGCAACTTGAGGCCATTTCCTCTTGTCCTATCACTTGTTACTTGGGAGAAGAGACTGACATCCACCTCACTACAACTTTCTTTCAGGTAGTTGTAGAGAGCAATAAGATCTCCCCTCAGCCTCCTTTTCTCCAGGCTAAACCCCATCTTCCAATATTAGCATGTTTTGATGTGTTACGAAACCCAAACTGAATGCTTTCAGCGTTCTCAGAACAAGTTCTACTCAAAGGCATGGCTCAAGTTCACTTTTCATTACCTCCCTCATATTCCTGATTGTGTTTGACTTTCTTTCTATAGTAGTCTCCTTTACAAATTAAATAAAAAAAAATCTTACTGAAATTATTTTTTTTTAGGAATTGCAAGTTAAGGTTATGTATTATAAAGTGTCAAATATGAATAACAGTTTTGTTAATATATTAGCTAGAAGTCCACAGTTAGTACAGATTTAAAGAACTGCAGTGCATAGGTTAAACCAACACTTTATTTAAGCAGCTTCTTATGGCATTGTTATGAACATCAGTCACACAATGATAAACCAAAGCAACTGAAATGGATTGTGGTTAATATTACTGTCAGCCTGACGAATGCTCCTGACAAATGCCAGGAGTGCACTGCCAGTCTGTTACCCTGCTTTGACTCAAGTGTTTATTTCTTAAGAGGTGACTATGGTTTGGAATGAGTATTACATATTATATTTATAGCTGTATATATTTTATTTATACAACACACACAGTTTCCCACCAGAATGTGTCCCATTTTCTGCATTACTTATGTTATTCAAAAGCACATTTTTTTCCTTTTCTTTATTCAGTGGAAGTAATAAATTGTGTTTTGTTTCTGGTACTTGGATGAGAAAAAAAATAGAACATGGAAAAATAGAATACATGGAAAATACTGAGGTATCAAAGCATGATTTTATAGTCTCAAAAGTTTGTTACAAGATCTTGCTGTATGCAAGTAGCTGTTGATAATTTTTCTTTCATAAGGCACAAAATTTCTGTAAGATCATAAACCGACACTACTAGAGGAAGAAAATTATGCCATTCTTAAATCTTCTTTTGTCTTCACTATAGCTGCATGTGTACATAATAATATTTTTATTCTCATTTTTATAATTTTCATGCAATATTTGCTAAATCATCATCAATTTTATAGTGGCTGTTATGTACGTAATGACTTCTTTTCCAGTCAAGTGTAGAAAAGCAACAAATAGGTCTCACCTTCAGTGAAGTGAGGTGTTTAATTGGTATGTGGGAGCTACTGATATCAAATACACTTTGACAGAAGAGATGTAATATATTTTTTTACTATGACAAATTAGACTAGTTTTGTTGTTCTAATGTAAACTTCCCTGTTGACTGTTCTTCAGCATGTCAACCTGAATTCTGTTGCAGGGTGCCCATTTTAGGAGCACAAATTCACTGCACATACAACTTGTGCTGTGTATTTTCCTCTGTGAGGAAACAGTGGGATGGGCATGAAATCTACTTAGTTACCTCTTGTTACCCCATGGCAAAGAGATAGAAAGTAACAAATGTTTTGATGTGCACCTATTATACTTTTGCAAATTTTTTAAAGAAATCTTTTTATCTAGAGAGGCATTAAAACTTGTACAGGCATTCTGTGAATCAGTGCTTTTCATGTAGAAATGAAAATTATGTTTTATTCAGCTCATGCTCCAACATAGTCAATGCAGCTTACTACGGGTTAAAACTGATACTCACCAGAAGGACTCGGTGTCCTTCGAAGCATAACGCATGTTCCAAAATTGGACACTAAAAGAAGGTGAGAGCAACAGCGTGAGAACTAACAAAAATGGGTGCAGTGGTGGTGATTTATTTTGGTAGGCAATTACATCTGGAATTTAGGCACTGAAACCTATGATGCTTGACACTGCTGGGCTCAGCATCTGCCCTGGTTGCCTTGTCGCTGGTATTTCAGGCAGTAAGTTTCTCATATGTACCTGTGACAAAAGGTACCACTTAATTCAAAAGCATTCCAAAGCCAGATAGGATAAGCTCGGAAGGAAGGTAGAAATATTTTTCCTTTCAGGACAGTTCATGTGAATCCCTCCTTAAAACAGGACAGTACAGGAGATAAAATATTTCAAACTTTGTATCAGAATCCCTGGCGGTTAAGAAAAGGTCCAGTATATTTTCTAGAATTTTTGATCATCTCAGGAAACAGTGGTAGAGATATCAAGGCCAGCCCCCATCTACAGTCAGCCTGAAGCAGTGATACCTGAAAAGGAGACACATTTTTCATTATTAATTTGTTAGTCTGTTATGGATTTTGATATTTTTAGTTGAAGTATATTTATCAGATTCTCGTCATTATCAGAAAACAAGGTATCATGCTTTCTTTGTGAAATGCAACTTGCTGCTTTGAGGAGTGGGACACTCCATCCTCTCTAATATTGTATGCAGAATAGGGAATAGTTGAGAGAAATTATTACAGAAACTAGTTTATCACCTTGCTGTAGATATACATTTGATCTCCATACCTATTTGTGCAAAGGAGTTGACAGACCTAGACATTTGACATAATCATGTTAAAAGAAACTTTTGGGAGAAGGGAAGCATTCAAACAGGAAGCATACTCAGAGCAGTACCTTGATTTTTAGGGATGTATGTGTTGATACCATTTAGGAAACCATAAAAGAGCAAAATCTAGCTGAGAGAACAAAGACCCTTTCTTCCCAATCTGTCCTTTTTGAATATAAAGAGAGAGAGGTAAAAATGGATTGGGCGGGGGGGGGGGAGTAAATGTGATTGGGATCCTTGCTTGTGGTAGGAGAGCTCAAAAGTCAAGTCCCTGTTTGAAGACAGCTGTGCAAGAGTATGAAGTTCTCTTGTTCACATCTCAGAGCAGTGCTATAATTTTAGGACTATTATGGGCTTTCTTTGTTTCGACCAGGAAATCTATTCTGGAATTAGAAATCATACCAACTAAAGTGCTGAGTAGCCTGTTATATTGACATGAAAAATTTTGCTTTAATAACATAAGTTTTTCCCATTTCTAAATGGGGGAAAGTGATTTTGTGTTACTCTCAAGTGCCAGTAACCCTCAGACAGATTCCGTTCGGGACTTTTGTGACTGATAAAATCGGTCAATTATCCTTTCTGACATCTGAGTCAATCTGTTGTATCATTTCCTTTAGCACATTTGCCAAAATTAGGAGACAAAGCTGCAAAATGGTCCCGTGGGTCTGTGACTGATCTGCTACAGTCGCCTGTTTTCTAGGTCCCAAGCTTGTTTTTGCAGCACCATGGTCAGGTACCCACCCAGAGCAAGTCCCCGTGCCTGCCAGCCTGGGCTCGGGCGGTTC